TAGGAACTGCCGATGCTGGAGAATCTGAGATTTCTGAAGAAGGGTCTCGACCCGAAACGTCAGCTTTCCTGCTCCTCTGATGCTGCTTGGCCTGCTGTGTTCATCCAGCTCTACACCTTGTTATCTCAGATTCTCCAGCATCGGCAGTTCCTACTATCTCGGAAATGGAATTCAGTTTGTCTTCAGTTGAAATAAACTGTGAAACGCTGTACACAAAGCAACATGTCTTCCTTGATTAATAATTAAAGACTCAAATTTTAAATTTAGTATTCTGAGTGAAAATATTCTGATTGAAAGGTGATTACATTTTAAGTATGGTGATTGACCTCATTGAACCACAAGTGACTTAATAGTTCAAAGCAATTTTATCTATTTACCACAGTTAGCTTATTGCAGTCATGTGAATCTCCCCATAATCATATATGTTATGTGTATCTTACGAAGCATTTGCCTGGCATATTGCTGTCGTAAACCATAGAAACATTCAACATACATAGAAAACCTCAAGCTCATTACAGCATAGAAATATAACTCCAAGTTGGGAATCGGACTCAAAGATATCGAAATAGAGCTCGGCTTGATGCAGACTGTTCATAATCTTGATGTTTAATTTGACCTTGAACTGAGTTTCTGACTCTTTGTTTCTATCACAAAGACCATCTACATGAACAAAATGTAACAAGGCTGTTACCTTACGTGCCTATTTGCTACTGAAAACTCATCTATGTTTCGTTAGTTCCAGAATTGACTATTCCCAATTTCTGCCCTCTCAAAACTTAAACTCATCCAAAAATCAGCTGCTTATTTCCTAAACTACGCCAAGTTATCTTCATCCATCACTACAGGGCTCGCTGACAATGCAGCAGTTCTCAGACCATCATTGCAACCTATCCTAAAGGCGCTGCATAGCTCCAAATTATTGCTGAGACATGAAATTCATCTACAAACGCAAACTTTCGTCCCGGAGCAGCGGCCGGCGCGGGGAAGCAGTCCCAGAGCAGCGGCTGGCATGGGGGAAAACAGTCCTGGAGCGACGGCCAGCACAGGTAGTGAGTCGCAGGCGGAAGCCAGCAAGGGGAAGCAGTCCCAGAGTAAACTTACCTTGTAGCAGCTGACAGCCAGTGAGAAATGGATTGGAGGCTTAGAGTGGTGCAGAGACGGTTGTTGGACCAGGGCCTAGTGCCGGCAGTCAGACCACACATGGAAGCCCTTGCGCACAGCTACTGCAATTTAACTTTTATTTGAATTTCTTTTAATCTGACTGTATGTCAATCCTTTAACTATGTCTTACTTTTAACTTATTCTTTAAACGATGTGAAGTGATGCAAATATTTTTCATTTTTATTCCTTTTTTGCATCAAAGATTTGTACCTAAGATGGTGCCATAAGAGGCAACATTGTAGAACTTTTCTCTGTACTCCTGTGCTTGAGGACACATGACAATAGAGGATATTCTATTCTAAAAGAGGTTAACAATGAGAAAAGTAGAGACAAATTTAATACAAGATTTATATTGCACTCAGGAAAGATGGAACAAAACAATTACATTTTCGGTTTAAATACCTGTCTGTAAGTATCTTGATGGTGCTCATCATTTCTGGAGTCATAATATTGTTCGATAAAAGCAAAGTACTCTGCTCGCTTCCGCTGTAGTGTGCTTTCTCTCCTTTCTGCATTTGCAGGTAAGTAACCCTGGAAATAAAGCAGAGCAAATGAGTATACTTCATTCAATGAACAGGAGGTTGGACAAACAAACTACTTGTTGATCAGTTAAATTAATTTGCTCCAAATTATATCCATTTGCCAAGGATGAAAGGAGAATAAACATACGAAGTCATTTTCAATCCAAGGCTTCAGAAGATTCTTTCAAATGGGACCAATCTGCTTAACTAAAAAAGAACAGAGCTAAGTACTCCACAGCCTCCTCGTTGAGGCAGCCATATTGGTACCTTGCTCATTTTGCTGTCCAGTGCTCAGTTTACAACATGTTTCCTCTCATTGCTGTGCCCAAGATGGTCTTGTGTGTTATTTTTGAATTTTTTCCCAATGTTTTTGACCTACAAAACATCAATGTTTTTTGAACACAAGTAGAAATTGAACTCCCTGCTCCTAACCCTTTTCTGTGGGAAGAAAATGATCTGGTCCAAATGCACAAATTGTATCTGACATTATCCACTGGGTTTCTCCAGTACTTTTGCCTCTACTGTCATAGCACAGTACACATTTGTTTTCAGAGTTCAATTCCTCTCTTTTTTGAAAGCAGACAGGCTACCCCCAGTAAATTCGCTCTCCCACCAAATCTACACCCACCCAATCAGTTAATGCTATGAGCTCCCATCAACCACCACATCAATTTCATCTATAAGTTTCTCCACGGCAAAACTTCCTGATTTAGTTGTGCCTTGCATTGTTCCTTGGCCATTCATCTTAGCTTTTCAACGATTTTTAAAAACAGTTTTAACTTAAAATATTAGTTTGTTGATAAGTCTTCAATTTCTTTCCAAAATTCAGCCTAACCTGAAGTCTCATCTCAAGAACAGTAATTACTTCCTCATTCATTGTTCAAACACATATAGGCCAGTTTAACTAGCGAACTCAGACCTATGTCACCAATGAATTTTGAAGATCACTACATATGGACTCTCTTATTTTCTTTCTCTGATGATATTCAGCCTGAAATAGGCAGACAACAAAAGTTTCTGCAGCAGTTAGTATGCTTTAGCATCAACAGAGGATCCAGACAAAGATGGACAAAGTCTACACAGGGCTTGCAAGTGTCTTGCATTGCAGTGGTAATGTCCGAACCTCTGAGGCAGAGGTCAAGTCCTGGAGGTCTGTCACATTATATCTAAACAGATCGATTAAGAACATTTACAAGGGGCTTGGCAGAAAGATCTAGTTTTGTCATACAAAATCTAATTTTGCCATGTCTTTGTTTGTTGGACTTTCTGCTGATGGCAAGCCCTAGGGGCTTTGAGGGGAGGCAAGGGCATAGTAGTATTATCGCTGGACTGTTAATCCAGAGACCCTGATAATGTTCTGGGGAGCTGGGTTCTAATCCCACCATGGCAGATGGTGGAATTTGAATTCAATAAAATATCTGAAATTGAGAGTCTAATGATGACCATGAATCCATTGCCAATTGTCGGAAAAACTCGTGCGGTTCACTTTAGGGAAGGAAACTTCCATCTTATTTGGTCTGGCCTACATGTGACTTCAGACCCACAGCAATGTGGTTGACTCTTTACTGCCCTCTGGGCAATTCGGGATGGGCAATAAATGCTGCCTAGCCAGCGACGCCTTCATCCCGTGAATGAATAAAAACAAGCACCTGCATTCTCCAGCAGCATAACAGTGACAATGTTTCATGTATGCACACAGGCAGCCAGTATTGTTCAAACACACCAGGCAAAGGCCTTTCAGGCACACACAGTATCAAATACAATTACAATTTCCATCAGGGATCATCAGATAGGCAGATAACTGCAATGAATTCCTAATTACTTTTCTGATTCCAGCTGTAGTAACTTTGACATTCCATGGCCATTTTTCAGTAATCAGAACTGCAAAAATCTGGAATCAAAACTGGCACATCCTGAACTAAATAACTCAAAATAATAGACGGTGGTGCATCGAGCCACTGAACCATAAGACAAGTCCAGTTTGTGTATTAATATAGTAAACCTTTTAAATGCTGGTCAAGACACTCAATGATAAACATCAGTACTGGACAACTTCATTCTCTGAATTCAATTTTAAAACAATAATGAGGAAAAGATGATATGGCACCCAAACACCCTGTTTCAAGTAAAGGAAGTGTATACATTTCAGAAGAAATATTACCAGTTGTACCAAGTGCGCAGCTCAATATGCCTGCCAGTTACCCTCAAGTAATTACTCTGATTAAGCATTTCAATTCTGAAAATCTTGAACAGATCTTCTAATTTCCATCAAAGGAAATCAAATGCAAAATTTTAAATATAGCCGACAACTACATATTGGATAATGAATGAAGGTGACAGTCTCATATCAAACTGTTAATGCAGCTTCTGGATTGCCTCATTCAATTGAGCACTTGAAAAAAATTAAAACCTCTCCCAGTCTTTTTACCAATTAGGATCTGCCATGATTATTTATCAGCATATTGTCACTTCCTTTGATAAAGGCAGATTCCAAACCTGACAGATGACACCAGAGATCCACCTGTCATCCTTTATCTTTGCTCTCAAACACCTAGTTATAAGGTGGTTCTTAATCACTGCATGGAAATTCACAGCTGCACCTGCATAAACTGTAATACATCATGATATATTCATGGAATTCATCCAAATGAAGTCAGCAGATAACTTTAAAAGGCACAGCACAAAGTATTCAGCGAGTATGCTCCTCAGATATGAGATGTTTCACATTCATATCTGGAAAGAACCTTTCAATGACATTTGAAGAAGAGTCTGTATTTTTTCATCATATATTTTAAAAACCAAATCAAAGTCTACAAAGCTCTGAAATCTAATCAGTAACTGAAAAGCAACTAAAGAAATCTGTGTTCAACTTTTTAAAAAGACACAAATTACGTATATTACACTGTTAAACCTACATAGCTCAAATATGATTTCAGATTTCTCCTTTGTACAGTGGCTGTTTACAAAAACACCTTCACTCAAATGCAATGTCATTTAATTAGTACCTGGTAACAGTGCAAAATGATTACCATCATCAAAAGACTTAATGACTGAATTCAGATAGACAAGTTGAGAATAAGTATTCCCATCTATCTCGGGCCCAAACTTTTCTCAGTCATTCTCAGCCAAGAAACCGGAAAGAATGGTCTGTTGCTATTGATTGGGGATGCATTAAGACAAAAACATCAGAGAAAGTTATCCAGTGTCTTGTACATGTTAAAGGGAAATAAATTGCCAATGCTGGAAATCTGAAATGTAAACAGAAAGTACTTGAACACTGATAAGAATCTCTGGAGAGAATAAATTAGTGGGTCAGGTATAACCTGTCAACTAAACTGAAAAAATTAACAGGTACTGAAATTGTATCAAAATTGGGTAACCATGGCAGATGAATTTTAATACCCTCGTAATTTGACTTGAAGGAGAATGGAGATGAGCTGTTTATGTTTGCAGATGACTCAGACTGGGGGAGCTGCAGATAGTGACGATTGCCAGAGGATACATCATGATATAGACAAGATGGAGATTTGAGCGGAGAAATGGCAGATGGATTTTAATCCAGACAAATGCGAGGTGATGCATTTGAAAGTTCTAATGCAGGAGGGAGGTATGTAGCAAATGGGAGAATCCTTAGAAGTATTAACATGCAGAGGGATCAAGGCGTACAGAACTGCAGTTCCCTCAAAGTGGCAACACTGGTGGATGAGGTGGTCAAGGATGTGTATTGCATGCTTGTCTTCATTGGTCAGGGCATAAAGAATAAGTTCGGCAAATCATGTTGCAGCTGCATAGAACTGTATGCAATAGTATACTCTGGTTTCTCTTCATTTCATAGAAAAATTTCTAATGTGGCCTAACTACTGTTCTGGTTGCCACACGACCAGAAGGATGTGGAGACTTTGGACAGGATACCGAAAATGTTTACCAAGAGGTTGCCTGGTTTGCAGCGTATTAGCTATGGAGAGAGATTGGATAAACTTGGTTTGTTTTCACTTGACCTTCAGGGGCCAACGAGCAGCCTGACAGAAGTTTACGACATTAAGAGAGACATGGATGGACTAGATAGTTGGAGTCTTTTCTTTTTCAGAATAGAACTGTCAATCACTAGGGGATTATAGGTTAATGGTAAAAGGGGGATAAGTCTAAAGGAGATGTGAGAGCAGATACAATAGCAACATTTTAGAGGCATCTTGACAGACACATGAATTGGCAGGGAATAGGGTGATAAACAGCATACAGGCAAAATGCTTTTAACTTAGAAAGGTGCCATGTATTAATGCAAGCTTGCTGGCTAAAGGGCCTGTACTTGTGCTGAACTGTTGTTTGCTTGTTGTTCAGAACTGTTAAGTAACACATTTTGGTACAAAGAATGAGGAGAGGATACAAGATAAGGAGTAAAATTCTAAAGCAAGTGCAGCAGCAGGAAGATATGGGGGCATTTACAGTGTGGCAGGTTGAGAAAAAAAAATTAAAATGCCTACAGGATCACATACTTCATAAATGGAAGCATACAGTTCAAAAGCAAGGATGTTATATAGGCCTTTACGAAACTCTGGTTTGGCCTCAACTGAAGTAGTGTGCCCAAATCTGTGCTGGCATTTTGGAAAGATGTGACAACTTGGCAAAGGTCCAACAAATCAGCACTCTCCTGTGAGACAATTTAAATGTTGATTTTCTCTTTATTGGTATTCTTGCAATTTGTACCAATGAGTGCAAGAAGAAACGCTTTGACAAAATGTATCTTTTTTTCAGTGATACTCATTCTTTCTAACAAGCAACTAAAAAGAGGTAGCTATTAAGGAGCATTTGAATGGAAGGGAATAATGCATAGGGAAGGAGGTGTCTGGTTGGGGAATTCCAGATGTTCTCCTTTTGGCAGCAAAACGCAGAGCAATCAACGATAGAGCCATTAAACTCAGCAATGTTCAAGAGTCCAGAATCAACGGAACATATATGTGAAAATGGAGGTTGAGAAGATTAGAATAGCTAGTGGGGAGGTCATGGAGAAATTTGAAAATGATGGTGAGAACTTTAAAACTGAAGTGTTATTTAAATAGCATTTGAAGTAGGTTGGTGAGCACAGGTTTCCTGAGTGAATGGAACTTAGTGTAGGCATTGACACAGGCAGGAAAGATTTAGTTTACCTCAACTTTTGAACAACCAAATTTCAAGATAACAAAAGGCTTAGGAAAGGTTTTCAGATGAGCTGAGGCAATGGCCAAGTCAGGCAATGCTGCACACATAGATATAAGCAATTCTATTGATGGTGTGGATTATGACAGCAAGACTGCAAACAGCGTGATTCAACCTCAACTAGTCACTATGGACGGAGATGTACTGATTAACTAAGAAACACAGTTTGCAATGGGGATTGAAAACAATAACTTACGGGGGTGGAGTGGGAAGGAACTTCTGCTCAGTCTGTATTGGATGTTTGATACACGCTCTTATTTTCAAGAGAATGCAGCAGGGAGGATGGTACTGGTGTCGTAGAGCTGGATGCTCTGCGTACAGGAGAAACTTAATCCTGAGTTTTCAAATGTTGTCATCACTGGACAGCTTGAGAATAGGATATAAAACAGGATTAGGACTGATCTGAGACATCGCCAGAAGCTATGTTGCAGGAGTGAGGTGAAACCATTGCAGATTAAACTCTGGCTATGATTAGATACAGTGGAACCAGACAAGCACCTGCTAAGTGACAGTGGAGATGCAATGGTAGGGAATTGTGTGCTCAACTGTGTCAAAGTCTCCAGGCAGATTGAAAAGGACAAAGAAGGACAAGAAACCATTTGTAGTTTTGCCAACGGTTGTGTCAGTTCTGTGGCAGTGTGGAAACTGGATTAGAGATAGTCAACGATGTAGTTCTGGAAATGATAATCATGGATTTGAGAGGTGCTAATATGTTCATGGAGTTTCATAAGGAAAAGAGTTTGAAATAGGACAGCAGTTTGCAATGGGTGAGGGTCAGAGTTTTCTTTTAAGATAAAGGCAATGATAGTGATCCTAAAACAGAGGGGGACAGCACTTCAAGTAACTAATTACTTGATGATTGCTCAACATATACAGTACTTGTTTAAAATATTATAGTTAACTGAACAACAGGAACCTGATACAATTAATGCCATGCCTAAAATGCAATACTTTCATTCATGTATTTGGAAGGAGCTGTTGACCTCAAAGTTATCAACTTTACGGTGCTGGATACATAAATAGTTCGAGATCCTGGAAGAGAGCAGCATCATGTCAATTTTGCAAAAGCCTAATATAAAAATTCTTATGAAGGTTTGTTCTTCATGAACAATCCCACAACAACAAATGATATCTGCACAGCATAGTTAAGTATACACCTGATGAAGCACATGCCAACTTTTATGTTAAACGGCTAAGATTTTCAACAGATGCCAGAAATAAGTATCAAGAAACACAGAACGTAATCACTTTGAAAAGTCAGTGAAGAAAAATGAAACATGATATTCAGGCACCCAATATTGACATGTTGTGCAGGGATGTTTCCAGTGGGATTCCCCCATGGTTTGTCAATGGGCCCTTCCAGTTTGTGGTCTATTAATAATTCAGAATTCAATATACAGTGTGATCAAGAAGTTGCATAAAATTGGTAGATTAGTAAATAGTCAGGAGGATTGCTATAAATTGCAGGAGGATATGAATGGACTGATTAGGTGGGCAGAGTAGTGGTAAATAGAATTCAATCTGGAAAATTGAGAGATAATGCACCTGTGGAGGGCAAACAAGACAAGGATTACATCATGAAGGGTAGGACCCTCCAAAATTCTTAAATTGAGAGGGATCTTGCTCTGCATATCCACAGATCCCTCAAGACAGCAGGGCACGTAGACAAGGTGGTTAAAAAGGCATGTAGGATACTTGCCTTTATTAGCCGAGGCACACTATACAGAAGCGAGAAGGCTATGCTGGAACTGTATAAAACCCTAGTTAGGCAACAGCTGGATACTGCATGCAGTTCTGTCACCACATTGTACGAAATATGTGACTACACAAGAGGGAATGCAGAGGAGCCTAACCACGGTGTTGTCCAGGCTAAAGGGTCTACACTACATAGAATTAAGGTAATAAGGAGAAGGTCCAGAGGAGAGTGAAGGAGAATTTTTTTTTTCTACTCAGTGTTTGGACTCTGGAGCTCATTGCCTGTAAGGGTGGTTTCAGTCAGAAACTCTCATACCATTAATGCAATACTTATACATTTACTTGTGTTACCACAGTCACCAGGACTATGGGAGTCAAGGGTTGAAAAGAAGATTAGTATAGTCAGATCTTTGCTGACTAGTGCAGATATGCCGGGCCTAATGACTGTGCCACGAGCATCCGAGAGTCAAATAAATCCTTCAGTAAGGAATAAAACATGAACCCCAAAAACATCTCAACTTATGACTGATATTTTTCTCTATTGCTAGGTCATCCCTGCTGTAAAGGAAAGGACCAAACAAGATCTCATGCCAATTTGAGGGCAGTTTTATGCTATGTGGTCATAATCAATATGCATGCCTGTTAACTAGCCAACGAACAAAGATATTAACATGTTTAAAAGACTCAACACGAAATCACTGAGAAATAAGCAGAAACAAAATGTTTCTGTTTGCTCTGTATGGAGAGGCAACTCTTTCAAGTGGGGGTGGATGAGACTTGGGACATATCTAACATGCACAGAAATATTGCTGAGGTTTAATCACATGAAACTACACTTAACAGCTCACATTGATCAACTCCCAAAATACTCCTTTTCACACAGCTATCCAGAGGGCTTACTGATTGTTCTCCAAGTCCAGTTAGCAGTCTGCCTGGTCACTTAAAAATATCATGCAATCTGCAAACTCAAGCAGAAAATCTTCCAAAGGAGGTTGACTAAGCTTCCAAGTCCAGCAACGTGTGTACCTATTCCTCAATCACTCTCTTCCCCCATCACTACCACCAGAGGATGAATATCTGCGCAAGAGATGTTTCAATGGGCTGGATAATTCCATTCCTGTCACACATTTGACTTGCAGAACCAAAAGACAATTTAACCTCAAATTTTGAGCTGATGTTAAACCTGGAAGTAAGTATTAACAAGCATCTCCACACTGCCAAAAAAAAACCCAAAATATTTTCAAACCCTAGCCATAGATCTGGTTGAGGGGAGGGGGTGCAGACAGAAAATGATTCACAAATAAAATCAGAAACGATTCACAAATAAAATCAGAAACAATTCATTATTCAACTTACTTACATCACGGATATTAAGGGAAGAATATACTTACTGAAAGGAGTTTCCACGTAATTGGTCGGACCTGCCTTGGGATCCCAGACCAGCTGCATTTCCTCAACTCTTCTGCATTTAAAACAAAAACCATTGTCTTAAGATCATGTCAGGAGTGCAATCAAATTATTAAATGCTCAATATGAGATGTGCACTGTTGACTGAAAAGTTAGTTGCTTCACACACAAATTTAAATTCATCACTTAAAAACAAGATGTGGGAAGTGGGATGTGCAACAACCCAGGCACTTCTCTGGGCTGCCTCAGGTTGAACCACACTTTTCTCAGTCCTGGCATTTTCTTAACCAAGTGATGTTTACAAATGTCTGATCCACCTTGATCCCATGAAATCTCATGGTGGCAGGGGAACACTCTGGTGATTAACATCTACATATTCCACACCCCATCCCCCTCAACTGATCAATCAGTACTCCTCCAAGTTGAACACCATACAACAAGAACAGAGTGGAAAAAGCACAAATTGAATTCCCATGCCCACAGTGCAATGTCCATCGCCAAGAGTGGTTTAGAATCACCATTGCTAATGAGCTGGCCTAGTCCAAAAGGACCTTGATGCTGCATTGGGTCAGCAGCAGGTGGTATGGAACCAACAAGAGGGAAAAACTTACTTGATCTCATCCATGTACCTGCTGCAAATGCATCTGCCCATGACTGTATTGGCAAGAGTGACCACTACTCAATTTTTGTGAAGACGACATTCTGCCTTCAATTTGAGGTTACCCTCAATCATATTATGTAGCACTATCACCATGCTAAATTAGACAGAATTCAAATAGATCTAACATCTCCAAACCGGCATCCATGAAGCTTTGTGGGTCATCGGAATTGCTTGTAATGGGCAGGCTAAGTGATTCCACAATCAATCTCCTGCAACATCCATTCATGAATGGATGGTGATGGTCAAACAAACAACTATCAGGAGGAGGAGGTTCCACAAATATCCCCCCCCTCAACAATGGAGAAGGCACAACACCTATACAAAAACAAGGCCAAAGTAGTTGCTTTCATCTTCGCCAAGTGCTGAGTGGACAATCTATTTTGACCTCCTCTACATTCCCAAACATCAGAGATACCAGTCTTGAAATAATTTGATTATTTCTGAATGAAATCAATGAATGGCTGAAGGCAATGGATAGCAGAAAGTCCATGGGCCCTGACAGCACTGACTAATCTTCCACAACTAGCTGCACCCCTAATCAAGTTGTTGCAGTACAGCTACAACATAGGCAACCACAAAACAATTTAGAAAATTTCCCAGTTATGACCTGCACACAAACAAATAGGACAAATCGAACCCAGCCAATCACAGTGCCTTCAGTGAACTCACCATCAACAATAAAATTATGGAAGAATTTGATGACAGAGCTATCAAGTGGCACTTCTCAGTAATGCAGTTTGGGTTCTGCCATTGGCCCGACCTCATTACAGCCTTGGTGTAAATATGGACAAAGAGCTGAATGAGGTAAGGTGAGGCGAGTTGAGAGCAACTGTTCTTGACAGCAGGACAACATTCATCAGGTTTTGCATCAAGAAGCCCTAGCAAATACTGAGTCAATGGGAATCAGAGAAAATTCTCCACTAGTTGGAGACATATCTATCACAAAAGGTAGATGGTTGTGCTTGGCCTTAGGACATCACTGCAGGAGTTCTCAAGATAGCATCCAAGGTCCAACCATCTTCAGCTGCTACCTCAGTGATTTTCTTGGCATTAAGAGGGATATTCACTCACGCTTGCACAATGTTCAGCGTCTTTCATGATTCCTCAGATCTTGAAGCAGTCAGCAGCAAAATCTGGACTACTTCTAAGCGTAAACTGCTAAGTTGCAACTTACATCTGGGCCTTACAACTGGCAGGCAATAACCATCTCCAACAAGGGAGAATCTAACCATTGTCCCTTTACATTCCATGGCATTACCATTACTGAATCGTCTCCCCAACATGATCCTGGGGTTACTAGGACCTGGAACTGAACTGAACCAGGTACATAATTACTGTTGTGGGCTCTTGTGGCACAGTGGTAATTTCCTTACCTCTGAGGCAGAAGACCTGGGCTCAAATCCCACTTGTTCCAGAAATGTGTGATAACATGTCTGAAACATTTGATTAAAAATACCTTAATACTGTGGCAACAAAAGAAGGTCCAAGGCTAGGAATTCTGTAATGTGCAACTCCCTTGCCTGACCACCATCTACAAGGCACAAATCAAATATTCTCAACTTGAGAGAATGGGTAAATTTCCAACAACTCTCAACAAGTTCAACACCATCCAGTGCAAGGCAGTCAGCTTAATTGGCATCACATTAACCACCTTCAGTACTCAGCCCCTTCACCACTGATGCAAAGCTGCAACAGCGTGTACCATTATTAAGACGCACTGCAGTAACTCAGCAAGTCTCCATCAACAGCACCTTCCAAATCTGCAACCTGTACCACCTGGGATGTCAGGGGCAGCAGAGGAATTTGAACAGCCCCACCTGCGAGTTTTGTTACAAGAAACTCACTACCCTGACATGGAACATAATCAACATTCTTACATTGCTCTGGGTCAAAATGCTGGAACTCCCTTCGCAACTGTAGCAGTTCAAGAAGGCAGTGACCACCATTCCCTCCAGGGCAAGTAGAAATGGGCAATAAATGCTGACCTAACCAGCAGCACATGCCTCCCATGAACAAATTAATAACAAATTCCTAACATCACTGACCACTATGCCTACCTCACACACTAGTTCCTGGACAGCAGGACTACCCTCAGAGGAGGGGCTAAGGATACTGGTCTTACGTTTTCTACAGTTCAGCAGAATGAGCGTTGATCTAATTGAAACTTTTAATGTTCAAGGGCTGGACAAGGCAGATGTGCCTGATTGCGCAGAGGGTTACAAAACCAGAAGAGACAGTATCTGTGTAATGTACAAGGCAATTTTCTCATCAGAGGATAGCGAACAATTTGAATTATCTTCCTCAGAGGACTGTGGAAGTTCAGATACTGACTGTATTAAAAGATAGAATTGCACTGATTTCTGGACATTAATACCATTAAAAGGGATTTGAGGATAAAGCAGGAAAACAGCTTTGCGATCAATAAATCATTGGACCTAGGGCAACAGACCTAGATCCAAGGGTTGAATGGTCAACATCTGTTCCTATATTCCTCTTGGTTGCCGTCCCACCTCCATTGCTCAGAAACATCACCAAAAACTCTGGATTCCCTGTTACCATACAGTGACCTGACCACTCAGCACAGCCAATTTAAATTTGACAGCCTTGTGTTTAAATCACCCAACCATGTCAGCCCTTCTTCAATACATCCACCCACAATCCACTCACACCTCCCTCTCATTCAAACTCAATTCCTCTGAATT